AGGTGCTGGTCATTACTAGATATAAGTCTTTAGCTATTGGATGCTAATGTCTAAAAGTAAGGTTAAGTTTAATATTTGCACAAATACTGATAATTGATATCTTTATTCACCATTGGAACTTAATGTTGTTTTATTGGTTAATAGGGGCGAGAAATCATCTATTAGGTACTATAACTAATTTCACATCGTTGACTTAGAGATGAGCTACGATGAGAGAAACACGTTGAAGTATTAATAACTGAGTAAAAAAGCATATTATCGACCAATAATTATACATGAGGACAAGGATGATGAAATCTAACACCAACAGGATTTCTCACTATTAACACCAAAATCTAAATTTAATTCTTGTCATTTTATTTATGCAACCAGGAAACTATAAACAACCATTTCCTTAGAATCATAAAAATTGTTGAATAATCTTTAAAACACAATGGTCTATATGGATAAAATAATATTACACTTGTTATATGCACTACATCATATCTACAAGGCTAACACTCCAACGCTTAAGTCAGTGTTTCGATTTTATCTCGAATCTTCAAGCCTATAATTATAGAGACTGATGTTTGTTTCTTCTTTTCGATTTCATTTGCATTCAAATTCTATCGATTATTTTCCTCTCTCTGTGATTCCAGTGATTATGGTTGAAATTTTTCAGGGCTTCACATTATGTTCTTCATCAACTTATTCTTTGTTCTCCATAATCTAAAATATTATTCTTGCAACTTTCTAGGCTTCAACTTTATCCATCATCACTATGTTCTTCGTTCCTCAGAACATGTAAATACATTTATGTTGTCTTTTTCTTACTATTTGTTTTCTCTAATTTTCCTAGCTGTTTGGTCTTTGTTCCTCAGAACCTACAAAGACATTTAAGGTGCCTTTCTCTTACCCTCTGCTTTCTCTAAATTGCACCAGCTTTATGAGTTATAACCAACATAGGAAACCCATATATTCCCTTCATAGACTTAGGTAGTGATAATGAAGTTAATGATGTGTCGTTTCAGACCTAGGCAGATGAAATAAACACAGAGGTGATAAACCATGATGTATCATCATTAGAATTAAGAAACCTGGAAAAAACTCCATAAGTGAACATTATTGAAATTAGAGAACTTGCCCCCACTAGGTTAGATATTAGGGAGGTTGCCAAAGGGTTTGCTTTCCTTGAAATTTACATGTCGAGCCCTAAAACTCTGAGAAATCCTCGAGATGAGCAACAAGTTAAGACATATGCTAACTATTATATGAGTTCCTTTGGCCGTGGTTCCACTGGTGAGGGAATTAGGGGGTGGTTAGAGGAACAATCAAAGTGTCACACTCATGGTCGCCATTTTTTTATATATTGACAGTGACATAGAAATGGCGTGACAAGGACGATAGAACCTTAAACTTCTTAATGATATTGATTAGTACTCCAAGGTCGATGAAGAAATTTTGTGGACCAAGTTTGTGTTAATACTAGATGTTGGATGCAGAATTCCTACTGTGATATAGGTTTGTCCTTAGACCAACATTGCTTCACCCCAAAAATAAAAATAAAAGGTTATGTAGCCAATATGACGTGTATGGGATGCCTTTACATGAATGCTTATTTTCTACTATGACATACACCCTCCATTTCATTGACTTTGAAGTCGGGCTCATAAGTCATCTAGGGATTGTCTCCTCGCTGTAACACTCTTGTTTACCGTGAATTTTAGTAAACAAGTGCTAGTCTTGAAAAATGGTTATTTGCAGGATTGACTAGTTAATCCTACGACACATGTCCATAAACTCTTATAGATTTGTTTTAATGGTTAATGTGAGACAGAAATCTACTCTAATTTTTATAAAGAATCAGGATGTAAGTTTGCAGAAAGATAAGGGATTTCGATGTAGTCGAGATCTTGGTAAATGAAATGGAAAAAGGACAAAAGAAATTTATAAAAAGAGACAAGTTAAAGTAAAAGAAGTTTTTCTTAAATGTAAATAAAATGGTGTTCAAAATCATACATGCTCTCTCAAATAACTCGTTTCTCACTTTTTGCTTGGGTACTTTGAGTGTATGAGTCTTTGTAATGAATTTGACACCTTTAATCCTAACGCTTGAACTCTTATTTATAATAATACTTGATTAACTCCCAGCAATGGCTCTCTCCTTAAAAATTGAAATGTATTTTGATGCATGCTTCTCGCCTTTAGACTCGCTTCCATGTGTTTTCATGGTATGGATAAAACCAAAAGAGAGTTATTCGGTTTGAACTCACTATTCACTCCAACTGTTGATGTTGAAGTCCTGAATGGACACCTTTGAGAAAAAATACCAAGTCTCAACTTCAATTCCAGAGTGTCTGTTGAAATACTAAGTCCCAACTTTGACCTCTTGACTTCGGCCTCCTGAGCTAAAATGTCCAACATCGAGATACTCCTTAAAGTATTCAAATTTCACTAAGTATTTCTATGAACTCTTTTCTTATACGTCGAGCTCAATGACATCGAAATTCCAAGCTAACAACTCTCTGACCTAGGCTTAAGTCAAAGTTTCCATTATTGGTGTGAGTATAAGAACATTGTTCTCACACTAACACTTTCTTCAACCTTTTCCATGTCTAAAGGGCTTCTGGTAAGTATTATAAAGACCAAAGGTTATTTTCTTTTAGATAGTGCTAGAAGATGTTTGAGGTCTACATGCACATCTTCAAGGGTTTTAAAGATAAATATTATCTTGTTACCCCTCTCAATCACACCACTCACGAGAGCCTTTACAAAATTCCAGCATGATATGTTGACTATAATGACTATTCGTCGAGGTACTCCCCTTCCACTCTCGTCTCCGAACACCAAAACTTCCTCTAAAATGCATGGATAAGTTCCCAAAGTTCTTAGGTCAAAATCACTGACATATATGCTCTTGATGAATTCCATAAGACCATCGCAGATAAAGAACTGACTTTGGGATAATCCCTGAAATCCACGAATAAGAAGGTGAAATTTTGTCAAAGACCTAAAGTCGGCTGGATATGAGGAATGCGGATGATTGGGGGATCACACTTCTATTAATAGGCACAAAGAAAAAACTTCACACGCATGCAAACACATAATTCAAAACACAAAGAAAGAGAAAGAAATGAACTTACCAAATATTTCCACACTGACATAGAGAGTCACAGTAATCGAAACTTGATGGAACTCAAATTGAAGAGACAAGACAGAGAGAATGGAGCATTAGGTAAAATTGAGATCATACAACGTAGAAGATGAAGGAAATAAAAAAAGCACAAATGGAAGAAATAATTTTTATTTAAGGAAGTCTCACTAGAAGATCAATCACAAAATTCCCCTTAGACTAGAATCATTACGACTACGTTTCCCCCCACACTTTAATTATCACGCCTAGGCATATGGGTAAAAACATTAATTACTCCTGATGCCTAGAATCCCAAAAGACAATCCTATGAAGACACATCACAATAAATGAACATACTTCTCCCTTCGATCATATATATAAGAAGAAAAAACTACTTTTTAGATTCATTGAATAATCAATGTATCTGGTATACTATTAGACCATATATATTGGTCATTCAATGAATCTAAAAAGTAAGCTCTCTCTTATAAATAAGACAAGAGGGAGAAATAGTCAAAAGTTAAATAACCCAAAATACCTTGACCAAGGTGGAGTTTCCCATGTGGCAAACCAACGTAGATCAACAATATTGAGATCAGGCAACCCATTAGGGATAAAAAAGATAACTTGCTCGCAATAAGTCGAATCCACATTAGCGAATCATCCTTTAAAAGATACCAAGAGAAAATCGCGGCCCGATCTCACCGAATTAGGCTTAGGGGGTATTGCTCCGACTTGGGCAAAAAGCTTAGAAATAACTAAGATCCAACCCAAATACAAAATCCCCTAAGGGGTTTGATTTTCTAGGAAGACAACGAACCATGTGATAATGAGTAAAGAGAAGACATATGCTGGTTGATTGATGTGACATTAGATAAATGATGACGGAACAAAGACGTCACATTTTTCAGCTATGGACCCAGAGAATATTTTAGGACCCCATGATTAAGCATGAGCCTTCCTAGACGAATACCTGATCAAGGCCAATAACGAAAATAGGATTGTGTGATAATATAACGGATAATATCCAGACAATTGTCCCTCCTTAAACACGTGTTTTGCCTTGAAGGTTATATGTTCTCGAAATATTAGAAACTTACTACAAAATGAGAAGCAAGACGTCAAATTAATGTACATACTACTCTAAAGTATCCGTCAATATTGATGATCAATGACTTTAATGTCAGAATATTTGCAGATACCACCACCTTAACGTCGAACCAAACTCAAATTACACCAACAAACTTCTAGAAATCACCCCATATATAACTCACCTCTAATCCACGTGAACAACTTTGATCCATAACTATTATCAATAAAAATCGTTGTATTCATTTATTATAAAAAAAATATTAATTATATAATTGATATATTTTTCACATATTCCTTATTTTTTGTATAAAAAATATTCTTATTGTTTACTTTTCAAAAGAAAAAATTCTTATTGTATTACTAGGATATTATTATTATATTAATTCCGACTAGCTAATGCAATTCAATTCATTAAATTTTTTATACCAAACATATTAATATAGTAATTATATTAGATTATATAATAATAACCTGTTATGTTTTTGACGGTAAATGATAATTTGCTTAAACATTTAAATAAATATTTATCATAAAAAATCAAATAAAATTTGTAAGAGTTATAGTAAGAAATAAAAGATACTCACATGAAAATAAATATAATATAAGATTTTACAGACAATCAATCATAATTTTTTATTAATTAAAAAATAAAAAAAATCATTCCCTCTGTGTTTGTAAATTGTATGTATGTAGTTGCTTAGACAAAGAGATTTTGGTATCCATCTAATCTTACTTTTACAATTCAATTCATACTCAAATCTATATTCTACCATATCATGGGTAACTAATCTCAATCATGAGCGCAGCTGATTTTGGTTCCGCCACTAAGATCACCCCTTTCTTCTACAAACACGTTTCTTCTCCTCATCAACAAAGAAACCGCCACTCACACTATTCTTTTTCTTCAACTTATTTTCCCAAACCTCTACTCTCTCATCAACACCATCACCTCACTATGCCACCTGTCATAATTAACGGCAAACTAACCGATTCTTCTTCTTCCGTCACCGTTAAACCTCCGTCACTCCACCATTATCACAGCATCGATCAACAACTCCTCGATAACATCGCTTACGATGCTCTCGTTTGGGCTTCACTTCACGGCCTCCTCATGGGCGATAAATCTTCCAAGGTATTTAACATGTTACTCTTTTATCAATCGAATTTGAACTTGTTTTTGAAATTCTTATTAATTAGGTTTTCAAGGAAAGTTTGATGTGATTGTTTCGATTTTACAGGAATCAGGAACTGTTCCTGGTCTTGGATTGGTGCATGCTCCATTTGCGTTATTGCCGGTTTCATTACCAGAAAGCAAGTTCAAACAAGCTTCTGATTTAGCTCCTATATTCAATGAACTTGTTGATCGTGTTAGTTTGGATGCTAACTTTCTTCAGGAATCTCTCTCCAGGTCCGTTATCACTGTTTTACGATTTTGAAAAATAGAAATTACCGGATCCAGTCGCAGACTAGGTCAGACGTTTCGTGACACTGTCTAAAATTGTGCAAGACAGACTAGCTTGCACAATTTTGAGCACATTTACTAACTGGCATAAAATATTTTTCCAATTTCATTTTTCAATTGTAATGAATTATGTCACTTTTTTTTATTTTTAATCTCAATCTAGGACTAAGAAAGTGGACGAATTTACCTCTAGACTTTTAGATATTCATTCCAAGATGATACAACTCAACAAAAAAGAGGTTAGAATATTGCTGAATTTCAGTGGAATTATTTTAGTACATGATGATGATGATGATGATGATGATGATGATGAAGAATGGTGCATATTTAGTTATTTTCTTGATGAAGTCAATGAAAAGAGTTTACTGATATTATTTTTACTGTTGGTGTAAATTTAATTTAATAGGAAATACGGTTGGGGTTACATCGTTCGGATTATATGCTTGATGAAGAGACGAAATCACTCTTGCAAATAGAGCTCAACACTATTTCATCTTCATTTGCTGGTTTTGGTAGTGTCGTTACCGAGCTTCATAGGTAAAGTTTTGCTCTAACTCTAATTTATAGTTTCTCTTCGTATTGTTTTTAGTCTTTGCAGCTCTGGATTTATATTCTCTAATTTTCTCTCAGTTTCTCGGTTTTTCTTTATTTTCGACCCAATTGTTTCTTTATATATTAGTTTGTGATTATTTTTTAGGTACATACTTTCCCAACATGGAAAATTGCTTGGTCTGGATGCAGAAAAGGTTCCTGTCAATAATGCTGCCAGTCAAAATGCAGAGGGCTTGGCTAAAGCTTGGATTGAGTATAATAACCCCAAGTAAGATTCTAGAAACAAATTTTCTTTGCAGTGCACTTTGTTCTACTTCTACTTTTGGTTCCTTATATTTCGGAATGGTTGAATCCATACAGGGCTGTGATTATGTTTGTGGTTCAGGCTGAAGAGCGAAACATGTATGATCAGCATTCTCTTTCTGCGGGTCTAAAAGAAAAATATCCTTTTCTTCTTACTTATAATAATACTAAATTGTAATGCTTGATACAAAAGGGAAAATCTTCATTTTCCCTTATCTAATTTGTGTTGAATGGAAGTTTTTCATATAAGGAAAATGACTAGTTTTATATTTTATATTCGAAACCTATTATAGTTATTAGAGCTGTTGTCCTGAACTTTAAACACGTATGGTATTACAATTTTACGCAAAACGCTGGCAGAAGTTGACCAGGAAGGAGAGATTCTACCAGATGGAACACTTTCTGTGTATGTAGCCTTTACATATCAAAAACTGATTTTCTGATAAGTTTGTGCCTTACTCACTCTTTGTTTCTGACCGGTGAATTATTATTTTTACTGTAGTAATGGACAAGCAGTTGCAGTTGTTTACTTCAGGGCTGGCTATACACCAGCTGATTATCCTTCAGAATCAGTAAGTGATCAGTTTGTTCGCTGCTCATTAATAAGAATTGCACTTTTCCATGTAGAAACGTTTTTTATTTTTTTATTTTACTTAAACTGTAAACTTCATTATTTGAAAGATTAGGAAAGGCTAACCCATGGTTAACCCACCAAACCTGATATGATCTTTGTGACCAAAAGAAAAACTGATTGCTGTTTATTAATAGTTATTGAATGTTAGCCACCTTATTTTTGTTTTGTTGGTTTGCTTGGTTTTGTAGTTGTCTGTCTTTTTAGGACCTAAAAGTATTGAATACTTTATTAAGATAAATAACATTGCATTTGAGCCCCAAAATAGTTGAGTTCCATAAGTAATATTGTCGTTGGTTGATCTATACAGCATGGGTTTTGGATGACTTCGCCATGTGAAGACTTTAGCGTTATACGTATTCTACTGTTAGCTCACCCTTTTAAAACTAAGAAGACCTAACTTACTCTTACCTCAATATATGTATTCAATGAATTATCCTCTCTACCATAAGTTTGTGTCTTGGTATAGCATGTAATGTCAGTGAGCCTTCTATCCCGACAATGAGTTCCCACTTCTCATGGTTTGGGCATGACTTGCTTAATATGTAGGAATGGAGAGCTAGGCTACTGATGGAACAATCTTCTGCTATCAAATGTCCTTCAATATCTTATCATTTGGTTGGCACCAAGAAGATTCAACAGGAGCTTGCAAAGCCCGGTGTTCTTGAGAGGTATCTTATTATTTTTTGCCATCTCTTCCTTGTTTATTTCATTTATATGCTTTGAAATTAGTTTTTCCAATTCAAAGAGACTACAATTAAAAGAAAAGTTGATAAATGTGAGAAATTATCATGTGGAGTAAGATTGTCTTCTTAAGTATCTTCTGTTCAGCAATCCGTGCCTTACTTATTTTATTAATCATGAATATGGTTGTGCCATTTATGATTTGTAGTATCTTTTTTTAAAATTGCTTGGAGATTCCATGTCATTTTCGTATCTTGCTTGAACCTAATTCAGTTCAGTGGGATCCTAATGTCCTATGCTTTTCCATTTTGAAAATGTGTCTGCAACCTGCAACGTTTATCTGTTATGTATTTGGTTAAGAATGCATCGTTAGTGGTCTGGAACTTGGGGTCCTTACAACTTTGCAAAACAAGCAGAAGGTTTGGAATAGTAATAAGGGCTTTTATCTCAGAAAAAAAGAATAGATTGATTTGGTTTCTCTCGTTGATATCTTCTCTTAAATCCTTGAATCTTAACTGTAAGCAGGTTCCTTGAAAACAATGATGATATTGCAAAAATGCGTGAATGCTTTGCTGGATTGTGGAGTTTGGATGACTCGGATATTGTTAAAAAAGCAATTGAAAAACCCGAGATATTTGTGATGAAGCCTCAGAGAGAAGGAGGAGGTTATACACCACCTAAAGCTTGATTTAACTTTCTGCTCTTTCCGACTCGGTTGAAAAATATATTGAATGAGCTGTAATTACCTTTCAGGAAACAACATTTACGGGGATGCTGTGAGGGAAACCCTCATAAAATTGCAGAAATCAGGTTCTCAAGAAGATGCAGCTTACATACTCATGCAGAGGATATTTCCAAATCTTTCTGCAGCACTTTTGATGCGCAATGGTTGTGTGCACAAGGACCATGCAATCTCAGAACTTGGAATATTTGGTACATATTTAAGGTAACATCTCTTGGCTACATACTATATCTTCATAATTCAATGCATAAATTTGTGTAATGCTTAACATCCATGGACTTGAATTTAATTTGCAGAAATAAGGATAGGGTTATCATTAATGATCAAAGTGGCTATTTGATGCGTACAAAAATAGCCTCATCCGACGAAGGTGGAGTTGCTGCTGGTTTTGCAGTATTAGATAGTGTATACCTCTCTTAGATGTTGCCAACCTCTAACTTATTAGGGTTTAACAAAACAATGTGTTTACATATTATCATTCAAGTCTCCTGTTTATTTATATGTCTGCCTCCGCAAAAAACGAAAGGAGGCCACATTGTTTCTTTTGTTTTATCCCATGTCGTGTTGTATAGTTACATATAATAAACTGTTAATGCCTACTTGTTTGATTGTTTGATTCTTGTTGTGACCTTACTCAATAACTGTGTCCACTCCTATTACTTCTACCAGCATAGAATTTCCTCTAATAATAAGTATAGTAAAAAGAATAGAAAGAAATATGTAGCTTATAACCAATGTGTGATGAAAAGTTGTATTAACCCTGCTGTTAAGTCAAATGCAGCAAAATGCACTAATTTAATATTAAGGCGCAGCAATGATAATTAGTAATTAACTTCTTAGGCGCATTCTTTTCCTGTCCTTCCACCCATAATCACGGGCTCGACTTTCCCATAATACTGTCAACTTGTGTTCTTCGACAAGCTCAGCCTCTGCTGTCTCCCTTGCTTCTTCACAAGTTTCCATCCCTATATTGCACTTTTCTGCTTCTTTTAGATAATGTGAAAAAGTATTTCTGGCATTCATCACTAATCTTCTTGTGTGTTCCAAGGTCTCATTGGCTACAATTTTCTGCAACTTCAATTCCTCAGATAGCATTGTCGGTGTATCCTCGTTTGTTGCTGGATCATGTTTCCCACAATCTGCACACACAGTTGTAAAAGAATGATCTTTTCTGATATGATGTTAGGTCCAAAAGAAAAACATGGTTGAGAAATAAACATTGCACACGAAATGAGTAACACTCAGCAGAATTATTAAGTTTATAATCAACTTTAAATCAAGTTTGTTGCTTTGTATGGTAAATGAAAAGTGAAACTAACCGTGAGGATATTCTGTTGAAGAGCAGTAACAATGATTACATCGAGGACAAGGAGAATCCATGAACCGCCGGCGCCATGGTGGTCCTATTGTGAATACAAGGTAAAAACACAAACTCATCCAAACCAAAATCCACCTCAAAACATCATAAGGGCATTGCATTTTCTCTTTTTTACGATGAACCCTCCACACCCTCATTAAAACCACTCACTTGAAAACTGACAGAAACAACAATTGAAGGCTTGTATTGTCTTCGCTCCTTTTAATGTGAGTGGTAGACAAACTACTTTGTCTTTCAAGAAAATTGGAAGAGACCCAAATCCCAGTAAAGTGTAAAGATGATGTTTTTATGGAGAAGGAAGAAAAAAAAGTGGTGAAGAAGGTTGCTTTAATAATTGAGAATTTGTTTAAGAACGGTAATCTTGACATTTTCAAATTTGTTAACCAATAAAATAGTTACGCAGGGCCGGCACAAATGTGACGTTTCTAGAATTTTAGGTTTGCCTCACTCAAAATAACTTTTTTTTTTAAAATTAAAAATATTTCTTTCTTTTCTTATTATAATAAAAAAATTAATTTAAAATTTAGGTTTCTATTATAGTAAAGTCTAGAGTGAGGGTGCAAACAAGTCTCTCATAGTGAATTTTTATCAGTATGTTCTATTGGATCATATTTCCTCTGTTTTAAAAAGACTGTCATTTAAAATTTTTACACACGAATTAAAGAATGTAATAATATTGTCATACGATATTACACTTTTATTAAATTAATTTTATTAAAGTATTAAAATTAGTTTATAAAGTAATTATTAAAAGACACAATTGAAAAATAGTAATCATTGTTATATTGAATAATGAGAATCACAATTATTTTAAAATAAATTTTATTTATTAAAATGACAGTCATTTTAAAACGGACAAAGTATAATAAACTCTGAACTAGATCCTTTCTTTTGAAATCATCAAACTTACCTATTTTATTTCTCCACTCGTGCAACCTACATGGAACAAAAATTTCTGGTCAATTTTCTTTACAAACTAGTATGATATCCGTGCGTTCGCACGGATACCGGTCTGAAACTCGCATTGAATTAAGAAGGATTCATATATGAAAAAAAAAGCTACAATTAAAGTATATCATCGTTCAACAACTATAAATTTATCATATTTCAATAAAATGCAAGTACTATACTCATTACTATTTATATTCCTGATAGTTAAATAGTATATAATTGATATAAATGATATATATTGATAATAACAATAGAATATGAGACAAATATAAGTAATTATCCAATAAAACAGTAATGTAAACCAAAACATTAGCTGTATCAATATTCATAAATATAATACTGCCAAACATTATTCATTCATTATATTTCTAAAACTACTACAATCATACATAATTCACACGAGTTACACAGAATAAGTTGCGGACTTAACAACTATGGTAGTGGAAATTAACATCATTGTAAGTTAAGTAAAGATAGTCACAACAACAAAAAATACCACAAGTTTTGGCATAAATATATATTCTTTTTAGTTAAACAAAACACCTTAGCTAGATTGAGTTCATCACGTGTCTTTAAAAAGGATTTCCATAAACTACGATTTATGCATACACACTATTTATCATCCCCATACACATTAGTCTACCATGACCGCCAACCATCAGTTGCATTGCCACGCTCCACCGATACAAAGATCTCGTCCACCAGAGGGCAACTGATGTAGAAGTGAAACGTCTCACCAACCTTTAAATTGGCTTGCTTAGCATAGTCATACCAGACACCCAAAAGGTACCTTTCTACACTCCCTTTTCTCTGCTTCAATAGACAATAGTATGAGACTATGTTGTCACAATCCAAAAGCCGAATTGACCTGTCGCCTCCACAAATACAATTTTTGGTTATATTTATGGGGATTTGCTGTTAATGGACAAATATTGTTAGAAGAATAAAACATGTAAGTGATTTTGTATAGTTTTGTTACCAATGTTCCCAATCGAAAGCTGTTCTGGACTGGGCCCGACAGGCTCAAAAGCATTGCTAAGGCCCAATCCAAATAGACTTGCTGAGGACCACGCCGACCAAAGGGTCACAGTCGTGCCCGACGTGCACCCTGAGGTCACGTGCTCGACCGCTACATCCCCAGCTGAGGACCAAAGGGTCACAGTCGTGCCCGACGTGCTCCCTGAGGTTACGTGCTCGACCTCTACACCTCCAGCTCGACATCCTGCTGTCCCGCTCGACATCACCTCGAGCACCCCAACTAGGGCAGACTCAGTCTATTGCACTCCCAGCGAGGCCCCGAAAAGACCGCGTCTCCGTCCGCCCGCACTTCACGCAGAACATCCAGGAAGGGGACCACGTGCGGGTCCCCACTATGCACGTAGAACCTGGAAGTTCCTCCATTGGGCCAAACTTGCCCGGCCCAATGAAGGAACCTTGGCCCAGCGCTGGGGGCTATAAATACCCTCTGTTTCCAGAGGGTCAGGTATTCATCATTCTAACCATACACTTGCTATTACCTGCTCGTACTTCTACTTACTTCAGCATCAGAGTGCCTTGCAGGTACCCCCCCCACTTCGTTCAAAAAAGCCTTCTGCTCGGAGCCAGCCGTGACGGTCCATTTCTGATCAGGTCAGATCAGTGGCGCCGTCTGTGGGAAACTAGCTTCCCCGTCTAACGAACAACTCAAAAGACCAAAGCTCAATTCAACTACCTGTCATGGCTGATCCAACTCGTGACGAACAGAACGTCCGTGTCACCGACACCAATAACGGCACGACGGACAAAAACGGGCATCTCGACAACGTCGTCAATCCCGTCAACACCGCTCCTGCAACCACCATCCTCGGAACTTCCTCGCACAGGGATGGGGCCACCTCATCATCCTCCCCGATCCCACCACCACTCGAGGACGACCCGGTAGCTCTCGCTCATTACAGAGCTGCCCGATTCCACGAAGTCCCAGTTCCCGCCGGGGCAGATGCCACGACTCAGGCACTGTTCGCGGCCATCAATCAGACAAACTATCTAATCTTCGCCCAAGGAGAAAGACTAAGGGCACTTGAAGATGACCGACGACCCCCGAGGAGGCATCGAAGGCCACATTCTCCACCTCCTCGGGTCACAGAAGTTCGACACCCTTCTCCCCCGCGGAGACACTACAGGGAGAACTCCAGGAGCCCCTCTCCCCGGCCAAAGCAGAGGCGCCCCTACTTGGAGAGACAGCCCGCCATCCCTGCCGGAGAACCCAGTCGCGACCCGGCAAGGCACGACAAGAGGCACGCCAGGGACGGGCGTGTGACAGTCAACCACCGAGCATCACGCTCGAGGGAAACTCAGCACGACCACCGTGCCAGATAATACTACAGGTCCCCATCTCTTTCTCCGGAGAGGAGCGACGAGGACGACCCCCACGGTCCCCTGTCGCAGGCCATCATGGATGCACCCATCCCCCCGGGCATGGAGAAGCCCCCACATCTGAAGGAGTATGACGGAGTTGCGGACCCGGTCGACCACATTGACGGGTTCGAAGCCATGCTCCACTATCATAATGTCGGGGGGCCCATCAAGTGCCGTCTCTTCCCCACGACTCTCAGGAAGGCGGCCATGGACTGGTATAAAGGACTCGCCCCGGGCTCAATCACGTCGTGGCGGAACCTGAAGAACCAGTTCATCAGTTCCTTCACAGCTTCTCGGCGCCATCCGAAGACCGAGGCGGCCCTCGAGGCCATCATCCAAAGACAGGATGAAACCTTGAGGGAGTTCATCAACCGCTTCAACCGAGAAGCAATACAGGTCCCCTGCGCGGACCATATGAAAATATACTTGCTGGAGAGGGGTCTCCTCCCCGGCACAGAATTCAGAAAGGCTGTGGGTATTGAGCCACCTCCGACTTTTGATGCCCTCCTCGATAAGGCCCGAGCATATATGGACTATGAGGAGAGGGAAGCTGCCAACAGGGCCCGAGACTCTAGGGCTCGGGGTCCCAACAACAACAGCAGCTCACGCCAAGAGGCTCCTCCCCGACGTACCGGGGAGAAAAGGAAAGAAGATCGACCCCGGGAAGTCCGGGAACAAAGGGGCCCCTCGGGCCGTTTCACCGAGTACACTCCGCTCATAGCTTCCCGCGAGCGTATTCTGGCGGAGTGTGCCAGTACAGACTTCAAGGACGGCGGCGTCAAGCGTCCCCGACCTGCTCCCGCCAAGCCAGGGGCAGATAAAAATAAATACTGTCAATACCATAGGAGTCATGGTCATTTGACAGAGGACTGCGTCCACCTCAAGGACGCCATTGAAACCCTCATCAAGGGAGGGAGGCTCGCGCAGTACAGGCGAAACGATGCTCCTCGTCGTGATGCCCATGAAGCCAAGGAGCCAGAAGAAGACGCCCGACCATCAGACGAGTCGGTGCCTATCCAGACTGCCTTCTCGGTAACCAGGCCCGAGGATTTCGACATTCCCGAGCACCTGCAGGAGCCGCTGACAACGCACAACAGGTGGGAATACTTTCCCTCCGCCATGGTCATCAACGGGGGCGGGTTCAACGACCTCACCATCAATTCAGCTAAGAGGAAGTTGGACGAGGTGTTCGACATGGCTCCCCCGCAGACAGTAACGTTTGAAAGGGTGAAGGGCAGGTCAGAGCCCATCACCTTCTACCTAGAAGAACTCCCCGGTGGAGCCCCGAACGCGGTCATCCCCTTACTGATAAGGGCAAGAATGGCCAATTTTGACGTGCATCGCATCTTGGTCGACGAAGGGAGTTCCGTCGACGTTATGTACAGCCAGCTGTTCCGAACCTTACAGCTGGACGACTCACATCTCTCTCCGTATGTGGGGTCGGATCTACAAGGCTTCAACGACTCGACTTCTAAACCTTAGGGTTATGTCGAGCTCCTGGTTACGTTCGACGAAGGAACGGCTACGAGACAAGTTAAGGTCCGGTTCCTCGTCATTGACTGCCCGTCTCTATACAATTGCATCTTGGGGAGAGCAACACTGGCAGAGCTAACAGCCGTGCCCTCGACCGTCCATCTAAAGATGAAGTTCTACACCAGAAGGGCACGGGTAGCCACCATCCAAGGAGACCTAGCCGCTGCCCGTAGGTGCTTCAACGCTGCTTCTAAGGGACGGGATACCGTCGACATAGGGACCAGACCCGCTAAAAGGACAAAACAGGAGCCCGACA